ACGTTATATCTCGGCAGACAAGCCCTGCTCGGGTGATAAATGCTTGGAAAACGAGCCCTGCTTAGAGTATCGTAGACAATCCATCATGCTGTTCTTTTCATGCTATCTCATAGCGGTTTTTCTGGAACCTGTGGGTAGTTGGGGCTCCAGAACTTGGATCCAGGTTGGCCTTGTGAAAGCTGATTCTCCAGTCACAGCGGGGAAGCTGGAAAGCCGCACATGGAAGCAGAATTTATTACAGAACTCTGGCGGATACTCAGTACCTCTCTTCAGCACATAATATTCTCTGTGCACACCCATATGGGAAAGGTTCCAAATTTGAAACCCTACCTAAAGTTCACAACGCCCTAAAAATACACTATATAAAAACTGTAGCGCGTGACCCTCTTTCCTACTTACCCAATTCTACAGGTTTCCTCTTTCCAGCTTCCCAGGTCGTTTGGCCCCAGATACCTTGTTTTATGGGGAAACTACAGCTCAAGGATGACCACACAAGGACAGAGGATTGGGGCAGAGGGTGGAGATGTCTCCCCCAAATCATCCCAGGACTGTGAAATCGAGAGGGTGAATTTCTGAATGTCGTCAAAGTGAATAACCAGCAAAATAATATGGTCCTTCGTAGAGGACTGAAAATTACTTCCCCAGAATGCCATATCTTTTATGATTATCGAATGTTCTGTGTCTAATTTAGAAAGATTATTTCCATGATAATCTTTCCACTTCCACCAGTAACTGCTCTGGGTTTTAGGTTCTTATATGGGCTAGTTCGATTCATTCCAGGAGGAAACCGCAGCAGGTCCCCTCCTCCTTACTAAAACTCTTGTAATAATATAGAGCAGTAGACTGAGAACTGACAAAACTGATTCCAGTTTTGGTTCTGTACTGAACGCTATGACCTTGCCTCAGCTTCCTCCCAGTGGTTTGTGAAAAACAGGCCTTAGCATGCCTTGTTTCCCCTTGGGTTGCTTAGTGGAGAGCATGGTCATCACTTGGCTTCGGTTGTAGAACACACGCATAGAGGAGGTAGGCAGCTGCTTGTCAAGTATCCTGCTGACCAAGCTCCCCGTGCAGAAGATACTGTTATCATGGGGTGAATGCTACCGTATCAACATTTACAGCAGGAAGCGGCCTGAGTCCCCAGTCCCAGTCCACTGTTCAGATCCACGGGAGCAGATGGTGGTGAGAGGCAGTAGGGCAGGAAAATTCTAAAGAGATGGAGAAATTAGGAGATCCACGATCAGACCACAGACCAAATGTAACAGATTAAGCAAACTCGCCGGCAGTTTAGTTCAGAACACACCTGAGCCTTCTCCTTGGACTTTACCTCTTGCACTCCTTGTCCTGTTCATTTTGTAAATCCATCCTCTTCTCTGGGCTTTCTCCAAATCCACCTAGTGGAAGCTGGCAGCCTCAGTCCCCACCCAGCATTGTGTCCACCCCTGCAAACCACTTACTGCAACAGTGAGTTATTTTCCTATAGCTCTGTTGACCCCATGAGACTTTGAGATCTTGAAATTAATCTCATTCTCCAGCACTCACCACAGATCTTGCATGCAATAGGAGCAAAACAAACATCTGGGGCCTGGGATATAGCTCAGAGGTAGAGCACTTGTCTAGCATGCAGAATGCTCTGGTTCAATCCCCAGCAAACACACACACACAGACACACACAAGAAAAATGGGACTCTCTATACCCTTGGTTTATTGGATTTTGAGGCAATAAACAGTCTGCTGCAATGGATGAGTTTGAAACCTCTCACAGCAGCTTTGCACTGGGTGTGTCTGAATACAGAGGCAGCATGCAGGCCTCCGCCCTGCGAGTTCACCAAAATGCTTTTGCTACTGACACCCAAGATGTCCAAAGCAGAGACCAGGGTAATCCATGAATCAAAACACCAAATTGATTTTCACTAATGCCCTTGGTCCCCTGTTCTTGTTAATCTGAGTGTTCAGCCAATTAAATGCTTTATTTCTGACATGAAAATCTATCATTAGCTATAGACTAAAACCATTAGCAAGTTGCTTTTATTTTTATGTAATGAACTGATGGAGAAATACATGAGTATTTGAAGGCTTTTGAATAAATAATGTGCTGTAGAACATTGTTCAGAATCTAGAAGTTAAAGGAAATTTTTTAGATGTGGGGAGACAAATGTCACAGAGTCACAAGCTCACACAATTTTCTTAACAAAAGAACTCCTAGATCCTCTGTGTGAACCTATTTACTCTAATTTTAGACACATTTCAAATGGGTGTGGTTTTGTTTAAATGGTCTCCCAGCCCACAGTAAGAGGTAGAAAAGGAGATAAAAGTTGGAGGAAGCACTCTGACCATCAAGAAGTGACAGCTGACAGCCAGGCTGGGAGTAAATAAACTAAACTAAACTAAAAACCCTGTAAAAAGCATACTTAAGAGCCCAGTAAGAATCTTACAGGTGTAAATACTCCCAGAAGAAATGCACGGTAGAAGAAATGCATGTTTAGAATGGTTGCCCTGAATTATTTAGAAAAGTTTACTATGTACAGGGTTTAAGACGTGTGTAAGACACTTTAGTGGATATCTAGAATACATTTTAGTATGTTTTCTTTTAAAAATTTTAAAAGGAAAACAGTATTGGCACTTGAACATAGAAGCTTCAGCTTGCTAAACTATTATTTCATGGGAGGTATCACTGCATTTAGAACCTTAAAATGTCAGCTTTTTTAAAAGTATAATTTTATATATTTTGTTAGGCATTTTCACTAAACAAGTTCAACAAATACAATGTTTGGACAAATATACAACTCCTCAAATAGCATTTTTTAAAGTACATCTACTGCATATTTTTTAGTATAAATCCCATCTTAATCACAGAAAGTATGTGATAATTTTCTATGTCAATCCCCTACTTAAATTCTCCCATGAAAAGCTGGAGCTTATATTGGACTTCAGCAGGCACTGCAAATCCACTTTGAACTTATTTAAAATAACATAGAGAGAACAATGGGTGGGCTTAAATATATTGATCTGAAGGTCCAATCGATTAATAAGATTTTTAAAAAAATAAAAACATCAAGTTGCCATCTGAAGTAGTGCGTCTTTATCACAATAGTACAGCCAGCTTTCAGCATTCCAATGGCTTTCATTCAGTCAGGAGAGCTCTGTTCCTTTTTATCCCAGGTAAATGACCCAGGCATCTCTTCCCAAGGTCTCCACTGGTAATTATCTTCATGGCGTGGTCAAGAATTGACCCATGACATGGATGGACACAGGCCTCCGTAACTTTTGAACAGATCCCAGGTGTTCGGTAGTAACCAAAGTTATATCCTATATTCTCAGTTACAGAGAGCTAAATGAAAAGTAGTTTCATAATGAGAGGAACTAGAACTCCAGTCATGTTTACATAGCTATAGTTTCTAGTGCCTTGAAAATGTACTTAAGTTTAGCTCTTTGAGGAGAGAGGAGGACATGTATCAATTCAACACAGTTTGCTGAGAAACATACATAAAATTAATTAGAATAATTCTATACTCATGAAAGCATTAAGTCATACTTGTCTTAAATTGGAAAATCATATAATCCACAAATTAGCTGAAATTTTATCACTGCAGATATAGAAAGCCTCCTTAGTGAATTATGACCATCTTTCAGTTCATTGAAATAAATTAAGGACCAAAATATTTTAGATGCAGTGTTACTTTGCATTTGTTCTCTAACTTTATCTTATTATCAATATGAGATTGACATTTGGACTAAATAACTGACCTATACAATCTGGTCCAACCCTCAAGTTCTCTACTTTTTTTTTTTTTTTTTTTCGGTACTGGAGATCAAACTAGGGTCCTTGCGCTTGCAAGGCAGGTGCCGGAACCACTGAGCTAAATCCCCGGCCCCAAGTTTTCTACTTTATTGTACCAAAATTATACAAATGCTGAAACATTTCACTATCTTCTGATTTACTTTGAATCCTTTTTGTTCATAAAACTGATATTAGTACAAGAATGGCAATAAAATGTAGCTCAAAATATTTAAAATGTTTTCCTCATTTTTTCCGGTTTAGATGAATAGACGACTTTTCTGAAGTTTAATAAATTAACAGTGCTCAAAAACCCTTGGGTTTTCTAAGGCTAATTTTTATTTCCTTTGTCTCTGTGGTTTATTCACTGAGCTTCAGGAGCGCTTCCCAATCCGATTGGGTTTATTTGGTCTGAGATGTTGCAGTAGGGACAGTTCCCTGACTGAAGAATGGAACAGGGCAGGCTCCATGTAGCTGTGTGGCCTTGAAAAGGTACCAATCTCTCTGGGCTCATTTTCCTCCACTTATAAAATCCAGGGAACTGGACAGCTGATCTCTGAGTTTCCTTCCTGCTCTATAGTCCATCATTGCAGTTTGGATGCCACAAAGTCAGCAGAGGGAGCACTTTTTCTACATCTTGTAAATTTTGATAATCATTTAAACACCTTACAAAAATTGAGAACACTCTTGAAACTAAAAACTCAACAGTGTTTCACTCTGTTTCTATCTAATCAGTGATTTGATTATAAATTTGAGAAAAGTTTACAAATTATGTTTCTTGACTTCCATGGTAAAATCCTGTGACAGAATTATTTTGTAAAAGTTAGAAACATGTACTCACAGAAATTCAGCACTCTTATATGGTAGTGTATTTAACCAGGACTTCAGTAAAAGAAAAACACCAGACCACAGAGGAGAAACTACCTGATGTCACAGAAGTGACAACCTTATCAATCACAAAAACATTAGTAAATTGGATGTAGCATAAACAAACCACAAAGTGATTGGTAGGTTTTTCTTTTGCACTTTTCATCGAGATACATTGGGAACAAGCAGGTAGACACAGCTAAAGCTTGAAGGCTTGCAAGAGACTGGAAATGTGTGATATCAGGCCAATGAGAAAAAAGGTGTGTATCTGAGAACCTTAGTAACTTCTTTCCTCAGTCATAGATAACTTAAAGCTACATGAGTAGCCATTATATTGTTTAATTATTAGACAATCTCATATGGTATATAAAGTTTTTATTCTTAGTAAGAATTTTTAAATCACAAAATAGTGTGGCAATATTTAGGCAATAGAATCTATGGAGTGCTGAAAATACTAGAATATAAAGATAGTTTCTAGTTTTATCTTCACATACTAAACTTTTCTAAACCAACTGGTTTCTTGCAGACAGTATTTATTTATTTTTAATAATTTAAGACAGCATAAGCTTGTACCAAGCATAAGCATTGTAACAAAAGTGCAACGTTTCAGCAAATCCTCCCCAAAGATATTTTAACTCAAAATATCATTAGCACATATTTTCTCCCTACAAAAATAGCATGTCAGACATCATTAATTGGATGTATTAACAACTATGTACATAAAAGCCACCTTGTAGGCTAAGAGTTTAACGTTGTTTAAACACAGCGTTTGAGGCAAACAGTAGCAACAGCAGCAGCAAATGCACCACACTGACTAAAAGACCCAGATATTTTCTTCACTCATAGTCAGACTGTTGTGTCTCACCCCTTACATAACATTCAAGTGAGATTTCTCACAGTGCTACCTTGGCAACAAACTAAAAATATCTAGACAAGGTCTTGGTTTAAGCCTTATTTAAAAAGCTTTCTTTGTGATTATCTGGTATCTGGTTTGGTCTCCAGAAAATACATAGACTTGGAGATAGAAGGCCGCACAGGGCTTCATTCCACATCTGTACAACGTTCCCAAGCAAAACTGACCAGCTTCCTGTTTCCTTCCACTTTTATGATCTAACAAGAATATAGGATAAATCAGTTTGGACTTTCTTTTAAGTTCAGTGCAATTTTTTTTACAGTAAGTTTATAAAAATTTGGGAACATGATGGGTTAAATAATGGGAATAGATGCACTTGAGATAAATATATACCATATATGATATGTATGTAACTAATTAAGACAAGTCAATTGATTTGTGGTCAGTTTCTCCATAAAGTGCGAGCAAAGGTTGGAAGAATGATTTTGGCCTTCCTCATCCACCTCTGTTCCTGTTCCCTGACTTAGTGCTAACGATGGCCCGACTCCGTGTCTCCTTTAAACAAGTACAAGTTACTAAAGAGAGCATTTCAACCACTTCAGAATAGGTCACAACGTGGGCAACTCCATCTTCACTTCTCTGAAAAAAAATACGCCTCTCGAAAAGCTGACCATTATGAAATATTGACGACAATCAATTCTCAAAGATCCTCAAATCTGTCTGTGGACCGTCTTCTAAACCAGGCAGGGCAGCTCTGAGCAACCGCTACCCCGTTTCCCGTCAACACCAGTCCCTGCTGTCCCGGCATGAGCCTTTCCAACGATCTCACCCAGAGCCAGCCCCCTTTCTGATCTCCTCTAGAATGAGGCTCCACATCTTAAAAGGTGATGGAACACGGCCTCACAGGAGGCAAAAACTTATCTAGGGGATCATTTAAAGAAAAAAAGGGAACCAATATCTGTTGCACAGGCTGCTTTACAGCTGGGGTGGGGGAAGGATGATGTTAGTGAGCGGAGGGTGGGGTGGTGAGAAATGATGAGCAAAACGGGAACTCCAAATGTACACAAAACACCTGTTTTTTCTCTTATGCCTGTCGTGCATCTAGTACGCTTCCTCCCTTAGAAACGTTAAGGGTGTTTTTAATTTATTAATATTATTATTCCGCTGGAGTCTCCGTCCTTTCTAAGGAAGGGGCGGGAGGACTCAGGGGGCGTCCTTTCCGGGCTGCGAGGCGTCTTCCAGAGCGGAGCTCTCCGGGTTCCCCGGCTCGCGGGGGCCGGCGAAGGGCAGGTGGGTGCGGCCGTGAGCGGGCGCGGGGTGCAACGCCCCGGGGGGCGCCGCCTCGTGCGGCAGGAGGGTCGCGGCGGCGCCCGCCTTCTCGGGAGGGGGCGACAGCACCGAGGACAGGCAGGGGAAGGCGGCGGCGGCGGCGGCAGCGGCGGCGGCGGCGGCGGCGGCCGGGGCGGGGATGCCGGGGTACAGCAGCGGGAACGGGGCGGCAGCCGCCGCGGGGTACAGATACTTCTCCAGGCCGCTCTTGTCCAGGAAGGGCTGCACGTAGGCGGCGGCGGCGGAGGGCGAGAGGAAGTAGAAGGGCAGGCAGAAGGGGGCGGCGGCGGCAGGCTGCGCGAAGGGCGCCACCAACGAGCCGAGCAGGGCGGCGTCGGGTCGCAGCAGCGCGGCGGGGTCGGGGCCCAGCAGCGCGGTGGCCGCCGGGCCGCCGCCGCCGCGCGCGTCCAGCTTCATCCTCTTGGGCGCCGGCGAGTCTTCCCCGGGCGGCTCCTGCTTGACCGTGACGCGGCTCGCCCCCGCGCCTCTGCCCTGCTCGCGCTCAGGCCGGGCCTCGGCCTCGCCGCCGTAGCCGCTGTCAGTGTCCGTGTCGTGCTCGGCTGCGAGCTCGGCGCCCGCCTGAGTCCGCTGGATGACGGGCACGCAGTGGGCCAGGGGCTCCAGCTTCTGCCCCGCGCGCTCCAGGGACCCCACGGGGGCGGCGGCCGAGGCGGCGCCACCGCCTTTGCTCACAGGGACCTGTTGAGTCAACAGCTGGGGGGTGGGCAAAAACTGGGTGGCGACGGCGTGCAAGTGGTTGATCAGCTGGACACACCGCGGCTCCCTGGGTGTCCAGCTCTCAAACCGGGCGAGGTATTGCAAGACTTCTTTGGCGCATGTTTGAAATCCCGAGTGGAAAGCATCCAAGTCGGACTGAATGGGCGACTTCAGCGATCGCTCTCCTGGGGTGAATAAGGGGGTGGGGGTGGGGGCAGATGAATGGAGGCGAGAAGAAAAATATCCACGTTAAAACATCTGCTTATCACGTGGGCCCTGCACTAACTGAAGTGCTCTCGGCTTTTCCTCAGTATTCCAGTGATAGAATCCACCGGTTGCCGAGAGAAGAGAGGTGGCGGGGACAGGGAGCAGCGCGGGGAGGGGGGCGCTCTCCTCCCAGCTGAAAATCCAAGGTGGAAAGGGTGCAACTGCTACTTTAAATAAAAATCTGATTCCCCTGGGTCCTGCCCACAGCCTCCGGGATGCTTTGGGAAATGGGCATTCTCCAGTGAAGGGAAAGGATACGCAATTTTCACAAGTGAGAGTGAGCCTGGGGAAGTGGGGGGATCTTAACACTGCTACCCCATGGGCTGCCCTGAACTGACTTACCATTCTGTAAAGCAATTATCTTCTGGTGCTGCTGCTCCGTTAAGGCTGTTAAAGCTTTTAAGTGTTTCAAAGTTAATTCCAAGACTACTGCTTTCTCCAGATGCCCGAGTGTCTGCGGTGTGCAAAAGAGAAGGGTGCCTGGTTACTTAGAAACACACATTTGGCTGGATTTGCTCTCCATTCAGCACAGCAACTTAGGCAAACACTCTGAAAGAACTACTATTCTTAACACTTCTTGAGCTTTCCTCAAGGCAGGTCCTAAATGATTTCTGGCCCCGTTCTGAGTCTGTGGGAAACTACATCATAGCACAAGTTGTTAGCATAGGCCTCTAATATTTACATTTATTCTTGTATCTCTGGGAGTCCTACCAGGCTATTAACACGCCCTCGGAGAGCAGCAAAAAATGAAAATGTACATCTTACTGTCAGTTTCAGATGTTCAGGCAGTAAATCTTTCAGCTGTGCAATGCATTCATTAATTCTGTCTCTTCTTTTCTTTTCTATTAATCTGTGCGGTAATTTGTAGGTATCCTTAATACGTGAGTAGTAGAAAAGAGAAAACAGTAAGCTAAACATTCTCTCAGTAGCTGTAGCCCCCCCCCCCATACTTATGTGATAAACTATGCCCAAGAAACCTCTTTGCTCTGGACTTATTTGAACTGCAATTTAAATTCAGGTATGATGTTTAATATCCCCCTGAGAGTATCCAGCAAGCCACTTAAAATTCACAGTTGGAGAAGCTCAGGGACTGGAATATATTTGCGGGCAGAGCTTCACTGTGAATCAATGGTCCTAATTAACTATCCAGGCAAGGTATGGGAAACATCGGAAACTTACACTTACCTTGCTGTCGTCTCGCTTCATGCTCCTTTTGGGTTTACACATATACAAAGAGGAATAGTCCAATCTACAAAACAGAAATCAGCATCAGGCACCCATTCCGGGAGGGGCTCTGCCCTAACCCGCTCCATACCACTTTCTGAAGGAAAAAAAAAAAATCATACCGGAGCCCTGGCAGATATTCGAAAGGGTGCACCTTACCCTATAAAATCTCTATGTTCCAGTAACTGTCTCTCTTGCAAATGAGGAATTCCTTCGTCCATGTTCAATTGCTGTCCGTTTCCTCTGTTTCGATTTTTGGGGCTCTGTTCTATAATCTGTGGGACGGTAGCCTTGGGAGATCTTGGGGGGAATCTGTGCGTCTCCAGTCTCGGTCTCTCAGTCTCTCTCTCTCTTCAGTGCAGTGTTGAAAGTGTGAAGCAGTTGGGTCCCCCCCCCCCCGCGCTCGCTCGCGCACACACACGCACACGCACACACTCGCGCCGGCCCCACTGCGCTGGTAGTTTGCTCTCACTCCGGGCAGTGTTTGGCCATAGGGCACGCGCGTCGCCGGCCAGACCAGCACCCAGCTCACGTGCGGAACGTACCATCCGCGGTCCAGCCCGGAGGGGGGCGGGGGAGGAGGGGCCGGGCCGGGAGTGGGCGGGGACACCTGATCAGGGCCACCGGAAAAGAAAAACAACTTTGGCCAAGCTCTTCATTCTCCAGAGGCGACGCAGTCTGCGGGGGGAGGGGACCGGCAGCGGGGCAGCCCGGGCTTCCTTGGCTTGGCAGGCGTTACGGTGCAGAAATGGGAACGTGGCTTGTTGCTTTTCCACCGATTGTGCTGTTGCACTAGAGAAAGGAAAGAGAAAGGGCATTCGCGGTGGGTAAACTTCAGTCCCAGGAAATGTTGGAGACTTGTTTGCTCATCGCTCAGTGCCCCGGGGGAGGAGGACCCCCTTGGCGCTGGGTTGGAGGTTACCCCCCACCAGGGACAACTTGAAATTCACTCCCTGAAGCATTTAGGAGAAATGAAAATGTAGTCACTGGGTTCAGAATGTCGCATTCCAAGTGTCCCTCGGCGACACCGTGTCCCTGGGTCACCTAAACTTCCCGCAGCAGCCGGAATTGCGGTACCACTAATCACGGTGGCAGATGACGACATTTCGGGGCCTCAAGGGCTCCCGGAGGAACGCGGCGGGAGCGAGCGGGGGTGGGGCAGGGACGGAGACGGGGGTGGCCCGGGAGGGGCGGCCGCGGGGAGGTAGTGCGGCATTCGCCGCTCGCCCGCTCGGCTCCGCGCCTCTCTGCGCCTACCGTGACGCTGCGTTCTTTTCCGATCCCCACCTCCAGCCCCCGTGCGATAAGCCACGCCGGGAGTGTGCCGAGCCCACGTTTACTACCGCTGGCGCCTCCCGAGCCTCCCTCCTCAAGCCTGTCTCTAGCGGGTACCGGCACAGGGCCGGCAACGTGATCCGACCCGCGCCGCTGCCACATCCCCGCGCGGGAGCCCGTGAGCGCGCGCTCGCCCTGCTCCGCGGCGACCGGCGCGGGGAAACACAGGCCGGCACCGGCCGGGCCGCTTTTCCCCAGAGCCGCCCCGGGAGCAGACTCGCTGCTAGAGTTCCCGGGAGCGTCGGGAGACGCGCACAGCTCCAGCCGCCCAGTGCGGCGGCGCGGGTCTGGGAGGCCAGGGGACAGGCAGCGTGTTCTGTGGCACGCCCGGGCCTCCAGACGCTACTTGGGTCTGCCTCGGGTGGGACCAAGGATCCTAGTAGATGTATAGAAGCCGGGTTTTCTTGCACTAAAAGTAATATTTCCATTCTCTCCGGGTGCGTTATTTACTGCCAGTGGCACGTGAACCAGGGGAGTGGGACGCCCGGGTACGCGCACTGGAGCGCAGCAGGGCCTGGAGCGGTTGTTCCCCCCCGCCCGCCCGCCCAGCTGGGTGCGGGTTCCGGGGACGGATCTGGGTCGCGGGAGGCGGCGGCTGGGAGGCGGTCACGTGGCTGCGGGAGCCGCGTCTCCGTCTCCTGGAGCCTCTCGCCTGCTGCAGTCTCCCGGGTCCGCAGCGGCGACGCGCACCGCTTCTGGCTTCGTGACTCGAGGCCCAGGCTCACCCTGACGTCCGGAGCCGCTCGGGGCCGGTTCGATTCCTGGACCCTTAAGAGGACCCTTTGAAGTCTCTCGATTGCCTCAAATTGGGGGACATACTTTGTACCAAATAGGCAATTTAATAGTGATAATACTGAAGAAGCATTTTTACCCAAAATGATTTTAAAACCTCATCTGACTTCCTTTCTGTTTCCAGGCAGTTGAATTATTCTTTTTTTTTTTTTTTTATTCTAATGGGGAAGGCAAGTTGGAACCCTAACATGGCTTATTCCTGCAGTAATGTATCACTTCCCCCCTCATGCTTTTAAGACCAAAAAGTGATGGATGACAGAGCGCTGTTAAGATAAATATTTTAATAATTAAAATAGCAAGTCTCTTTACAAGTCTCTTGATGTTTGGAGTAGGGTGTAAATACATACTCCAGAGCTAAATTTCACCTGAAAATGATGACTAGAGTATTCAGTGAAAATGAAATGAAGATTGGATCATTGCGTCTGTCTTGGCTTTGTCGGAAGAGCGGAGGAGACACAAGGCAGACATCTGACCTTAGAGGCTAAGCAGTCTGGGGCAGTCAGTAAAGCAACTTAATGGGACGGGAGCCTTGAAGGTCAAGGGCAGGTTAAGTGAGCATGTAAACTTCCCATAATTTAAAGATATGGAGGACCCTGCCAGGGAAGTCTTTTGCTATTACCACTTTTTTCTCCTCTCTCCTCTCCCTTCTGCCCCAAGGTTCCCTATTTCTACAGCAGAATTGTTGTTGGCTCTTCTTTGCCCCTCTTTCCATACCTGATACCCAGCTCAAGCTGTAAATGGGCGCTTTTTTAAATTAAATTTTCATATCCTGTGTTATTCTTGGTTTTCCTTTTCCTCTTCCGTCTCCCTTTCATGCCCCCCATTACTCTTTTTCTTTTTCTTCTTTTACCCTGTCTTTTCCTATTGAATGTCTGCTTTTGCTCTTTCCCTGTAATTTTTGTTTTACTTCCTGTTTGTGTTTCGACTTTTTCCTTTACCCTTTCACGTGGCAAAACTTCCTGCTTACCCACATCCTTTAAACTTGAGTCCTACTCCTTTTCTTTTCAAGCTTTTTGCCTGCTTGATATCGGGCCGAGTTCATTGCCTCTGAATGGCCCTTTGCTACATGGAGGGCATAAGCATAGCTAACCTGGCATTCAGGGTCAGAGTACCAGACTCCACACTTAAGAGCTTTTCATGCATTAACTTATTGCTCCTTTCCACAATCCTGTAAGGCAAATACTATTATTATCTGCATTTTGCAGATGAGAAAATGCTTACATAGTGAGATTACAAAATGTGTCAAAGATCTCAGACCCAGGATTTGAGCCCAGGCAGTGTGGCCTAGGGTCTGTGCCCTTTACTGTTAACCCTAGATGTGAATATGAGGGGTGAGGGCTACATATTACTTCACTGCTTCTGGGATGCTTTTCTGTTTAACAGTGTGTGTGCTCACATTTGCTGTGGATACTTTTGAAAGAGAAATGGGAAAGGGAGAGATGTTATGGGAGTTGATGGCAGAGAATGGAAAAAGTATAACTGAAGAAGGGGGCCAGTCCTTTGCCACATCAGTGAGTCACTCATTTGGCATCTAGCTCCATATTTATTGACTTAAAATCCAAATACCCCAAATAACTGTTACAATTTTATACAGATATGCAGATGGAAGTTGAGTTTAGAAAAAGCTGGTGGTGCCAGGCTCTTCACAGTCTTCACTGAAGAAACCAAGTCAAACTCTAATGTGAAGGTTTATTAAAGAAGCAAAGTCCACCTGTGGTGAGCTCAGAACAGGAAGAACTTCCCTTGTCTGACAAAGGAAAAGGAACCAAGTCTCCCTCACTGGATATGTTTAAAAATAGATGGAGTCTTTATCTTTTTAGGAAGGCTTTGTGCCACCCTGCTGAAAGCCATGAAAATACAAAATGCACACAAAGACCCTTTTAAACTTATAATTAAATAATTTTGTGATGCTTGGCTTCCAATTAAAGATACCCATCTTACTCCTTTCAGAGGTGATGGGAAGCTGCTTCCCTTGCTTTTCTTTGGTTAAATAAGGGCATGACTACTAGAGAGTAATGAAAGGGAATATTTAGCCCAATTTTTCTCCTCCACCCAAGAATTCCGAGCTCCACACTCATTCTGTTCATCGGTGGCTTTGGAAGGTCTTGTCCTGCTTGCTTGAAATGTCGATTTCAAACAAAAGCAGAACACTTATGAGAGAGTTACATTTCCATTAGGAATAGAGGATTCCTGGCTCTTTAGGACTGTGCAAGTCCCACTGCTCTTCTGGAAAGGTGACTAGTGAGTATTTGATACTCCAGGTCCAATCCAAACCAACTGTGTCTCTGGTGACCTTAAAGGACCCAGCTCTGCCCCGAGTGTGGAGCCTCCTGCCTCTGATGCCATGAGAAGAGCCCATCAGGTGGGTAAATGCCTTTATTCTGGGCCCAGGATCAAACCCAGGGCCTTGAGCATACTAGGTAAGTGCTCTGCCACCACACCATACCCCTGGCCCCAGATACCTTTTGTAATCACCTCTGATTTGGGCAGTAAGAATTTATGCCATTCTATATCACTTTACATCCAACAGGGGATGGAGCCTATTAAGCAGAGACCATAAAAAATCTAGAACAGTTTTGAATTGATGCTAAAATCAAAACCAGGGTGAGGTGGTAGTAATTCCTTCTCTTGGCAAGCACTCTCGCCCTCAGGGGACAGGATTAATGTGAGAGGCACACCACAGCAGGAAGGTACCTCTGAGAAGGAACTTGGGAGGGAGGGAAATCCCTCTGCTGCTCACCAGAAGCCAAATATGACTTTAGAATATTGATGATGTTATTTGTTGAAGGTACTGGATTTAAATTCCCAAAATAGAAGGTTAGGTTTCCCAGTTGCATAGTCAGCACATTAGCAGCAGCAACCCGAGTGTCCCCTTTTAATTTGCAAAATAACCAACGTCTTCCTATAGATTACCAATTAATGTGTCTTTGTGGTTGTAAACACACACATGAATCACATTTTATATTTATGTATCACTACTCAAGACCTTTATACACTTAATTGATCTTTGCATAGCACCAAGGATAATGTTAAGTACTGAAAATAAATTGTGTGCCTGCTGCAGTCATTGCCGTTTTGTGTTTATGTGATTATCACAAACACTCATGCAGGCTAGCCTGAATTTAATGTGTTCTCGGTGTTCCCAGAGTCTTTAACATACAGAGGACAGCTGGGGGAGAGCCAAGCCTAGGATCCCTCTCATGCTTTGTCCCTAACCTGCCCTGTCTCTCCAGTGTGTGTGGGCCCCTCACACTGATGCTGACCCGTAACAACACCAGGAAAGTGGAGTGAAAAGATGATAAACCCATAAGCATCCCACACATCACTCCTGCTCTTTTTCTGCATCCTCCTGGACTAGCTGGCTAGCAGGCTGCAAGAAAAAGGGACCTTTTAACCTTCTTGCTTTCTTTGATACTGCTGATGAACACTCTTGGAAAAAGCTTCAACGAGAAACATGTTATGTAATGTGAAATACACTCGAAAAGAATAAGATGTGCTAAACAGCTGCTTCTCTGTCCACTCTGTTACAGCTTCATAAGGTCCTGGAATCAGTTATTAGGTGGTGTCCTTGTGGTAAGGAGCTATAGATTCTACAGCCCCCTACTTTATAAAGGCAACAGAAAAATTAGTTAAGCAGGACTGAGGTTGTACCTATAACTAGTGGTCTGCAGTTTATTCAACAATTAAAGCAGGAATTCAAATGTAATAATTACCTACAAAATTTAGTTCTGATATTAACCTATAATTTCCACTTGTAAGGAAACTGACGAAAATCTATGCTACATATAGGAGTTGAGAGCTGTATTTGAGCCAAAATAGCAGTAGCTTAAACAAATAAGGAATGTCTTCTTTGATCAAATAATAGTAGTCAGAGGGGAAGGATTCCAGAGGTAACTTGGAGAGGTAGTAGGGTCATCAGTGTCACAGATTTCTGCTTTTTGTTCCACTCCGCTCCAGCTTCCATCCTCAAGATTGCCTCATGATGATGAGATGGCTGCTGTGACTCCTGCAGGGAAGGATAAAAGGGGGCCTTTCACCTGAGCAAAGTCCCTTTAAGGATCTTTTCTTACAAGCTCTACCCAGTGACTTCTGCATGGATTTTATTATCCAATCCTATTACAGAGGGGTCAGAAGAGTACAGTTGTCAAGCTGGGGCTCCCCAACAAGATAGGGGTTCTTTTACTAAACTGGGAGCAGCGAATGGGTATTAGATTGGCTGTAGTGATCTTTGTGGTAGAGTGATTAAAGGAAGTGGCTTGTTCAGGTCCTCTTCTTCTCTTCATCAGTGTCTCTTTTTTTCCCCTCCAATGCCACATATGTTGGCAGTGTCTCTTTACTGTAGAGCTCTTAATTCCAGTTTCAGAAAATGCTCAGATTTTCCATCAGCAGTTGCACAAACTTAACTAACTCCTTAAACACGTGGTCTTTAACATCTGTATTTTTAAGTTCTAATAATCACAGAAATCTGCATAGAGAGGAAGTTAACAGGGCTCGGCCCTCTTCCTGTAGCATGTGAGCTGCAGCTGCACACTTTCTGGGAAGTGAATGTCTCCCTTTTGATGGAGCATCACCTGTCCCCTTCTGCCCTTGGCATTTGGGTTGAAGCAAGAAACTTCCAGCAGAAAGGCACCATTTGAACTCAGCTAGAGTGTAGCTAAGACTTTGCTCTTCTTTTGCCTCTGGCTACATTTATAAAGGATCAGAAGATGAGGAAAGA